TAATTAATTTCAGCAGCGCCGAACGGAACATCACACGGCCGCAACACTGCCCCCCTCTTCATAAAATTGTCATTCCGACAATTCTTCCTCTTTCAAGAACTTCCTCTTGGAAAAGACTTCTGGGCTCATGGCGACTTCCTGCCCTACCCTGAGCTGCTGCCTCAGGTTACTGGGCGCCGCTACTTCTAATCCCAGTCTTCTCTACTCTTCAGAAGAATCTTGTTCTTGAAATTTTTGCGCGTTTCACTCTTGACTCTTCGTCTTGAGCTTTGCGCACTTCTCTCTTCCATTTTTCGGACAAAGTGGGGGTAATCGTCGGGACTCTTACGTCTTTCTAAAAGACACACTAAGCCCCTGTCTCGGCATTCGCTCATCGTCCCCCGGAAAAACCACGACTCGGAAAACCGGGGGCAAGGCAGACTTCTTTTCAGATTGAAGCACGAGCTTGAAGATCTTGCTTGGTGCTCAGGCTCGAGGATCTCCCCACGACGCTTGTCACAACGGAAGGAAGCTTAAAGAAAGATAAAACAGAAAACAGTAATTCTAAACAATTAACAAGAAATAAAAGTAATGTCAAAATTGGAAAACCGGACCCCGAAAACCTCTACTTAAAATTCTTCCCTTTCTCTAAACGGAGCTAACCTGGCATGCACAACCTTGCTTTTCCGACTACCTGAATGAGAAATACAGAAAACTACATCACTAATTTTCTTAATTATCTCAAAAGGCCCCTCCTAATCGTTCTGTAGTTTGGGAGACCTACCCTTCTTACGATGAGAATTAAATAACCAAAGCTTCTGTCCTTCCTCAAAAACGGGATGCCTAGCCTTTCGATCATAGCGGCATTTGATCTTCAAAGACCTTGATTCTAATCTCTCTCTTACTCTCTGATGAATTTCATCCAGCTTCTGCCGCAAATTCCGAACGTACTCCTCCGCTGACTCGGAAAAACCATAACTGGGAGGAGTACCTCTTAGCAAATCCATCGGCAAGGTAAGATCTCTTCCGCAAAACAATTCTGAAGGAGTTACGTCTGTAGCCTCATGTTTAGAGGTCCTATAGGCAAGAAGAACATAGGAATCCAACGATCCTAATCCTTTTGATTCTCTTCAACAAACTTTGACAAATACTGTAAAATTGTCTGATTTGTCTTTCAACTTGATCATCAGACTGAGGATGAAGAGCGGTCGTCTTCGTTTTCCTAATTCCCAAAATTCTCATTAATTCTTGAAAGAGCTGTGTTCAAAATTCCTTCCCTGATCAGTATGAAGTTCCAACGGGACCCCATATCTAGAAACAACCTGATTAACAAAAATTTCTGCTACTGTAATAGCTCTCATATTTTTCAAAGGAAAAGCCTCTACTCATTTAGTAAAACAATCTACAACAACTAGGAGATACTTATTGCCTGAAGAAGAAACGGGTAACGGGCCTAAAATATCCATTTGAATCCTCTCAAAAGGAGCTCCCGAATTAAAGATCTGCAAAGGAGATTTCCCCTTATCTGCAGCACCCCTCTTCGCAATACAAATCTTACAGGTTCTGCCATTCCACCATTCCTCAACATCCTTTTTACAGGTTGCCCAATAAAAACGCTTCCGGATCTTTTCCAGTGTTTTATTGATCCCGAAATGCCCTCCAGAAGGAGTATCATGAGCTTCTTCTAAAATCTGCTTCACTTTGCTTCGCGGGACCATCAACTGAAGAAAACTGTTTTTCAAATTAGGAGCCTCCCATCTCTTATGCAAAATCCCATTTTGGATTTCCAAGGCATGCCATTGATGCCAATAAATCTTGACTGACAATCCTTTCGAAGAAACTTCCTCCCAAGAAGGTCGCAAATCATTTTCTTTGGCAAGTAAAAACATTGCAAGTTCCTGATCCTCTATTTGAGCCCTTTGTCCTCAGAAGAATCCTCACGCAAAACAATACAAGCAACTCCTTTATCCTCAAAAAGCCCTCTCTGAACTTTAGAACAGAATCTACATTTTTCTTCTACACAAAGGCGTCTCGAAAGACCATCGACATTACTGTGTATAATCCCCTTTCGATGAGCAACATCAAAATCGTATTGTTGTAACCTTTCCATCCAGCGAGCCAATTGTCCCTCCAAGTCTTTGAAGGACATCAACTATCTCAAAGAAGCATGATCAGTTCGAATAGAGAAACTGTTTCCGTACAAATAATGATGAAAATGTTTCATCGAATCTATCAAAGCTAATAACTCTCTTCTTGTTGTGCAATAATTCCGCTCAGGTTTGTTCAAAACCCGACTATAATAAGCAATGACCCTCTCATAGCCGTCCTGAACTTGTGAAAGTACCGCCCCTATTCCAAAACCTGAAGCATCCGTATCCAAAATCATCTTTCCTTCCCCCTTCGGAAAGGAAAGAAGAGGTGCAGATGTTAATGCCTGTTTTAACCACAAAAATGCTTCTTGATATTGTTCGGTCCAATCAAATTTAGTCAAATTCTCAGTTAACTTAAACAGAGGCTTCGCAATTGAAGAAAATCCCTTAACAAACTTCCGATAATAAGAGCAAAATCCAAGAAAACTTCGAACCTGTTTCTTATTCTGAGGAACTGGCCACTCAGTGACTGCTTCAGTCTTCTCAGGATCCGTAGCGATCCCGGCAGAAGAAACAACATGACCCAAATATTTTACTTGTCTCCTAAATAAATCACATTTCTTTGGGTTAACACTAAGTTTCACAGCACGAAATTTCAGAACAACCTCTCTTAAATTCTCTTTCATTTTCTCAAAGGTTTTGCCAAATACTATCACATCATCTAAATAAACCAGGCAAATTTTCGAAAGTAAACCCCGAAGCACCCGTTCTATAAGACGTTCAAAAGTAGCCGGGGCATTACACAGACCAAAAGGCATTACAACAAATTGCCAAAGTCCATTCCCCACAGAAAAAGCAGTCTTTTCCCTATCTTCGGGACGAATTTTCAGTTGCCAATAACCACTCTTCAAATCCAGAGTGGAAAACCAGGCATTTCCCGATAACTGATCAAGAAGATCGTCAATCCTTGGTAGCGGATAAGAATCTTTTTTCGTAACCGCATTCAATTTCCGAAAATCAATGCAAAATCTAAGAGATCCATCTTTCTTCTTTACCAAAACTGCTGGAGAAATCCAAGGACTTAAAGATTTTTCAATTATCCCTTGTTCTTTCATGTATTCGATAATTTTTTCAACTTCTGAACGCATATGAATTGGAATTCTCCTAGGAGCCTGTTTGAAGAATCCATTAATTCAATTTTATGTTGAAGAACTTCACACTTTCCTGCAACAGCTTGCTCCGAAAACACGTCACGAAATTCTCGCAACAATGTAGCGAAAACTATTCTCTGATCTACCTCCAACTCCCGGGAATTATTATCAAAGAATTCTTCCAACTCCGCGGGCACAGTTTCGTCCTCTTGCTTAATCCGACGACAAAAACCTTCTCTATGATCTCCACGGAGAAAAGATTCTATTACAGTTTGCATCCCTATTCGTGAAAAGAAATCCGCGCCCAAAATACAATCCTCTCCAATATCGGCAACGAAAATCGATAACTCTAAATTAAATCTCCCTAACTTTATCTTAGCGAACATTTTAAAACTGATCGGGACCCTTTCCCCCGTAGGATACCTCAAATTTTCTTCCTTTGCTGAAAAACACTTTCCTTTTCTTCCTATAAATTTACTACTCACCAAGATCACGTCGGAGCCCGTATCCAATTTAAAAAAACAGTCTCTCCCATTAAGAGAACTTTGGAAAACAAAATTTCCTGATTTTTCATACCCTCTCTCAAAACGCCTACAAACACCTGGGGCATTTCTTCCATTTGTCGAGCCCGCCCCTAAAAGTTCGACAAAACCTATTTTCCTTGCTGTGAAACAGAAAGTGATGGACACTCGGAACGGAAGTGCCCTTGTTTTCCGCACTGCCAACATTCCTTTTTCTCTTGAATTTTAAAATTCTCCTTTTTCTTAAAATTTAAACCTCTCATTCCACGAGATTCTATTTTGAATCCATTTAAATCAGGATTGCTCTTAAAATTCGAGCAATCTTTAACCTTTTTAAAATCAAAATTTCTCCGCTCTTTTAAACAATTCTCCCTAATAATTTTAATAGCTAAAGCCCTTTCTACCGCGGCCCTCAAAGATGTTAACTCTTCTAGCTGCAATGTCTATTTAACATTCACATCAGATAATACAACTACAAATTGAGAACAAGCAATTTTGTCACGAACTCCGGGAGAACATTCAGGATAAGCTAATCGAGATAAACGCTTGATATCCGAGCCTAATGCAGCTAAATCTTCTCCGAATCTCTGTTTTCGATTCGTAAATTGATAATAATAATTTTGCGAGGATAAATTTTCTCCAAAACGTAGCTCTAAACGCGCGACCAAATTTTCAAATTGAAAGTTCTCAAAATCCGTGCCCCCTTCCAAAATCGCACGCGCTTTTCCTCGGAGACATGACGCTAATACGACAGCCTTCTCTGCGTTTCCCAAATTATTCGCCTGCGCAATTAAATTAAACTGCGTAAGATATTCGCGCAATGGAACACTACCGTCATAAGTATCGGGCTTAAGTTTCAAGTCGAAACTAAAATTTGAAAAAGGAAATGACTGGCCTGATATCGGACGTTGCGAAATCTCTTCCTGCGGACCGGGCAGATATGAAGATATTTCTGTCTCTCGACGAGCGCGCTCCTCCCTCAGAGAGCGAAGCTTCTCCAGCGTTAAGCGAAGAATCTCCTCCAAGTTCGGAGCCTCCGGCTCTTCCGCTCGAGTACAGGCTCTTTTTCTTGCAAAGACCACTCTCCGACCTTTCGCTTCTTCCTGTCCAGTCCCCGTCTCTTCTGTTTGTCGCTCCGCCATTATCTCTCACACACGGATCGAAAAATTCGATCCCGGACGAGTCCCCAAAATTGTCGCGTTCGCGGCGTTACTTCCCGAGATCGCGGTACTCGGCGGAGCGCTTTCGGAAAGGAAGAACACTGTTTAAAGAAAAGCTCGCTCTTTATTAAACCAACGGTACAACGGTACAGAAACGCGTCCAGCCACCGCGGAATCTGGCCGTGAAATCTGTAAAACAGTCGAAGAACGACGCGTTGTCAAGGGCCGATTCTCTATTCAAACTCTTATCGATGATATTGATTAATTTCAGCAGCGCCGAACGGAACACCGCACGGCCGCAACAATATATATATATATATATATGTTTTTTAAAGTAGATGAAATTTTATGTGAAATTATTAAAATTAAAATTAATGAAACTTACATGTTATTATTGAACTTGACGATTTCTGCGCAAACTATTCTTATCAACTCATGACGAGCTTTACTGTCTATTATGTCGGCATCTAGCGCACTTAACAAAGAAGATTTCCTTTTTGTTTCGCATCATGTTCTTTTACCCAATCGCGAACATTGAATGTACTCCCTTGATTATTGTACTATATAACCAGAAATATATATGCATTTTATAATATTTATTTTTTCAGAGCATTAATGAACAAATAAATATTATAAAATGTGTATGTGTATTACATTAATTTAATTTTATTGCATTAAAATTTATATTATATTACACACCTCCTGAATACTGTGTTTCTGTTTAGTAGGCGCATTTGGAAGTTTGCAATCACTTGTTGAAGCTTCTACTTCGGTATTTTCTACTGGTATTACATTAGTATTAGAAACTTGTATCGTTTCATTGTCTTTCTCAGATATTTTACTAATAACAACACAGTCCTATAGTTACAAAAACATTACATATAGATAAGTATTATGAAAGTGAAAATTTGGAAGTGTGGAGTGTGGAATATATATCAGTATAAAAGATATCAATAAATTATTTTTATATACATATACGTAATCAGTAATTCACAAAAGACATACATACTTGATTTGCTGAATTTATCAAATTTAAAATCTTCTTTCTTGAGCCTATCTTTATTTGTAATTCTTTTAAGTCATTTTCTGTCAATGATAGGAATGCTGTGTTATCAACACATTCTTCTGAAATGAGTAAATAATCTTTATCTCTTTAATGTATACATACCAATCTGTGTGTGCGTTTGTGTGCGTGCGTACGTGTGCAGTTTTATATATGAATATACATTCTGATCTTCAAATGCACAGTGCAGATTTTCAAATCCTCTGATGGTATTAAAATGCATTATATAATATGCATTATATAAGGAATATAATTGAATAAATATATATATATATACATAATTGTTGTACCCCGGATGGGCTACAACGTTAATTTTAGAGATAGTCGGGTTCGTTAAGCCTAAGGAGTTGGGACTCCGAGCAGGATCAAAAGAATGGAAGGGAATCTTCTTGAAATCACTAACACACTTTCTTTATGTTACTTGGTTTATTTAACAATTGCACAATTTCTTGGATTTAGTATTACTTATTTTATTTCTTTCACACACGGTTAGACGTCGGCGGGCGCGTATCGCGTTACTCTGGCGGCCGTCGACCGAATATGTCACCTGAGACGCTGATAGTACGGCTCGCGTGAACTTCGCTGTGCTCGTGTAATATCTTGCGCGATAATTATAATAACGATTCCCGAAGACACGTTATGCTTGATTGACTCCTGACTCTGCTGATTCCGCCTTGTGTAAACGGTT